AGGGGTACACACTATTTCCCATTTCACTAGATTAAAGCATTTCTTTCCTTCACTCTCCCCCTATAAGGACCTGTTCATAATCTGCTTCAATTTCTTAATCACCTTATTAGGTATTTGGAAAAAGGATATATAATATATAGGCAAATTAGCGAGGGGTACCTTTACTAAAGTCAATCTACCCCTTAAAGATAAAAGCTTGAATTTCCATGAATCCAACTTATATTACATTCTTTGGATTAGAGGATCCCATAATACATTTGATCTCCCATTAGCAACCACCCCAATGATTTGAGTTTTCTTTAAGTTCACATTTTGGCCTAGTTTCTCACATATTCTCACATATAAGAAATTTATACATATATAAAAGATCTCCCTTTCCAAATTACAAATATCGGGTTTCTACAAGAAGTACTAGAGACCAAAACTACATTGACAACAAATCCAATTGGCAAAAGACCAAAAAAAAAAAAAGGAAAGAAAAAGTTGGTATTCAACCTATACAACTAATATCGCTCTCACTAATACATGATCCTAATCAAACCACTATGAAGATTAGAAAATATTTTCAAATTAAGAATGGACTTAAGAGAATTTAATTCTCGGGATTTTATATTGGGGATAAGTGGCCTTTAAAGGACTTATGAGTGCTTGTAAAATGAAATGATATAGTGGAACATGAACTCTGTGGGAGTGTGATCCCTCGTAGACCATACTAAGCAAACGATGTTATTTGATACCAAAGTGTAATTGACGATCTAGGCTAGTCAGTTAGAAAAAACCCATTTTACCTGGGCATAAATAACAAATCGATAAGGGTTCAAATGGGTTAGCCCTTGATGAGGTCGGAGACAATGCCTAGATGAGTGAGCTGAGGGACTGTGTGACCCTTGTGTGTGATGGTAGACGGGAGCCAAATCCTTATCCATGTGCCATCACACGGCATGCATATCGATAGATCATTCAGGAAAGCCAGAAATTCACCTTTTAGGGTGAAGCATATGCATGTGCAAGAGATACCTCTATGCGCCATTGAGTTGTGGTCGCATCAAGTCTTGTTGACCATGACTCGTTTATAGAGGAGGACCTGTAATCCACAAACTGGGATTGCAACCCTTTAGCTCATTGGCTAGACTTTAATGACCTGCTAATGAGCCCCTGCTTGGACTGTGGGTCATGAGAAATATTGAGTCGGTCTGATAAAGCAAGTATAGTCTATAGTCCACAGTTGATGGTGGAGAGCCTCATGATTGTTGATTCAATTCCTAAACCATATGGATCTTTTTCCTATCAAATTAATTTAACTGTGTTTGTTTTATGATAGAAATTATTTTAGAATTATTATTTGAATTTTTATGAATTACTGGATATTTTATTTTTGGATTTATAAAATTAAAGGTAATGATTTTACAATGGTTTAATATTCAAATAATAAAATTATTTTATTAATTTAAAAATATCATGAGGGTCCATTGTGCATATAAGCCCACAATATTTCTAAAAGGTGGGGCCCATGAGTGTCTCCCTTGGGTGGCACGCCCCACCCTTATTATCTTTCCCATTTTGGTGATGATATGGCATGCAGCCGTATGACTGGAAGATATTGACTAAATACTGACTTGATATATCTTTGAAAAATTTTGTGGAAAGATTGAGTAGACTTGTGCTATTTTATAATATGCAGAATATTTTGATTAAATTTATTTTATCTAATTTCTATTGATGGGAAAATGGTTTTGGAAATGGGGATAAGGGTTCATGCATCTTCCATAATATTAATGGCCCATCTATGGAATGGATGACTCAGAACTCTCACTCCACAAGTCACCCTTGATCGACAGTCTATGTTCAATATCACTTAAGATACAAACTATGAGAAACCCTAAGACACCCTAAACCAATTTTTCACTATAAATATGGGTTTATCCTCCCTATTTTATTCGCAGCCTCTCTCTTCTCTCCTACATCTCTTTCTCTCCTCTCTTCTCTCTCTAAGGGGCTCGCCCCACTCTATCTCCTCTCCCCCTCTCTACATCTTCTATCTCCTACCCATAGAGGGGGGCACACCCTAAACCTTGGTTTCCTCCCACTTTCTCTCTCATCTTATATCCTAAGGGTTGGGAAATATGCTAAAAGTATTTTGAGGGTAGGATCTAAGCTTGATGAGCTACAAAAGGGTTGTATAAAATAGTTTAACTAAAAATTGCTTTCTCGGATCGAAATTGAAGCTAGACCATTAATCCTGCGCTATCGGATGGTGGTGACTCTGTGTGGGGTGTAATAAGCTCGGTTGAGGTAATCTCTAACACTCTTCTATTTTGTTTCTTGCATATTTAATTGTACAATTTTTATATTTTCAAGCACAATATTTGAGGTTATTTTTTTTTATTAAACAAAATTGGTCTAGTGGTAACCAAGTTTTTAATATCTTGGATTTGTAAGGTTTTATTTTCTTTGAAGTAAGAGTTATTGTAATAAGGCTACTTATATGTGATCGTTGCCAAAAAGAAAAAGGAAAAGAAAAGAACATGGGTGTGTAAAAAAACAAAAAAAAAATCCCGGCAAGATCATATTGGCATTTCTTTCATCGATATCAAATAAAGGTTGATATTTGATGCCATTAGATGTCTTTTCTCTTTTTTGAGTCGAGACCAAGCTTGGGAATGAGATACGAGAAAGCTAATAATCTTTGTAGTTAAGTAATACACACTAGTTAAGAATTGTTAAAATATTCAACACACCGAGAAAGGCACTCTACAGAATTGGTATTCTATGCCATTTTGGAGCAGTTATATGAAGAAGATAATGATGTATTCTTCAATTACATACTGCAGTGTTTTTGTGTATCTTTACAAAATTACAGTGGGAGATCCTTAGGGAATTGAGAGTTACGGACTCATGAATGAAATTTGACAGTTCTGACCATGCAAAATCTAGGAACTGTCCACTGAGTTCCATGATTTTTGCCACCAATAATATAATCTTATTTCTTACTGAAATTTTTTTATGACACATATATTGAGCCTACTTTCAAACAAAAAAAACTTCATCAATAAATTCCATGCGGTTTAAAAGATATGATCGATATATTGAAAAGTGCACAATTGTTGCTTTCTGCAACGAAAATTATTTATATGACTTGGAAATCAATATTTTATTTCTATTCTTAACATAATGTTTTATGGCTTACACTAAGTTTTTAGGATTCTATTCTGAGACTAATTTATAATGAAATTTATTTGAGAGGGAAATATCTATAGGAAAAGATGAATAAAAATTTTAGATTGAAGAGAGGTCATCCTAAATTTTCTGCAATTATGGTGTGCTCTTCATTGAGACTTAAGTAGCTATAATTATCAAGCGTAAGTAACTAAGTGATAGGAGGCTTGTGGAAATATATGTGCTACCATTATGTGTCTACTTTTAAACAAAATAAGTTTGAAACGAAAACTCCACAAAGGTAGAGAGAAAATACAATTTTACTAGACAATAATATCTTGAAATTCTGCAGTATGATTTATTTTGTGATCTGAATGTCACTTATCTATTTCTCTGAAAAAAATATTATTTGGGATTCAAACCATGATGTTATGATCTGGTTTTAGGTCTAGTTTTTTTTAAAAAATATTTTGGAAAGAAATTCTTTGAGAATTGAGATAAACAAAAAATTTGTATTGAGAGGTGCTCAACTTGATTTTTCCGCTGAAAAAATTGCTGTGTGACGTAATGTCACAAAAACAAAGATAGATTAAACGGTATGATTTAGGGATGGAACTGAGCACTATTTTATATTTTTTGGTCTATTTCAATACTAAAAAAGATTCAGAGATAATTTTTTTTTAAGTTGAGAGATATCATATTTTTATTGTGGGATGCGTATGTTCTATGCTGCAATATATTAAAAGATGTTACATGTTAATGCACATATTTGGATTCCTAATTATGGAGATTTTTTTAAGACTTATTTTAAAAGGTTTTATAGTGTGTCATGAGTATGGTTTATTATAGTACAACTTCAGAGAGATGTAATACATAGTTGACAAGATATGATACTCTATATGAAGAGTATTCGATATGAGAATAACATAAAGAAGAAGAAACGTAATACTCTAAAAGCATCTTGGTTTATTCGAGATGAACGAATACATAGAGAGACTTGGTGGTAGCAAAGAAAAGTTAAAGATCAGTGGAAGAATCAAATTTGTGATATTTGAAATGATAGGATGAAGAAGATTATTTTCTTCACGATGGGAAATAGGGAAAATTCAAGTGCCGAAGAGATGGACACTTCGTAACATGTGAAATCGATGAACACTATATTCTCTATCAGTTGCGTGTTCTTCCAAGATCACAAAAACTCGTCAACAAGTAAAAGCAAAGAATCAAGAAAGCTCAGGTACCACACTACATGATTTTGAAGTATGAAATCTATTTTATATTATATGATAAGATCATATAGGAAAAGAGGATTCAGTAAACATTTTATTTTAAGTTTCATATACTTTTTTTTTTGTTCTTTATTTTTGGCTATTTGAATATGTATGGAGTGTATGGACATTACGTGTTAGGTGCTAACAAATTTGAGAGAGCCGGTTTTGAAGACCTTATGCTTTTATACCTCATTGTGCTTGAGTATGAACTCCCTAGACGGCTAAGCCGACCCTCTAAGTACCACCAAAGCCAGGCTAGATCCATGCCTGGCCCAACCTGATGCCACCCTTATTGGCAAGCCCAAAGCAGGCCAACCCTAGTCTTATCAGCCTATTTGAGTTTAAACCTCCTCAGCTTGTATCAGGCTATAGAGGCCCAAGTCCTAGCTCATCTATGGTGTACTTTCCCATGTCGGGCCTGCCGGCAGTGACTAACAGACTCAAATAAAAAACGAAAAAGAAAAAAAAAAGTATTTGGGACGGCGGCCCGGCTCTGACCCCTCCCTGGTAATCCGGGTCATAGTTTCTTCGGGGTATCACATTTCCCGCCCACCTAAGCCAACATAAAGTGAGAGAGTTGATGATTATCCATTGACGCGTGTAGAAGGGAGAAATTGTTGGGAAGGTATAAGGAGTTAGAGCGATTTGTTGGTCTCTCTTCAAGGAAAAGAAAGGGAACCAGAATAAATGCAGAGGTTGTCATCTTCTTTTAGAGCTGTCGCTCCTCAGTTCCAGATACTGCGCCAGGCCTCCTTGCTGAGATTTTCAACATCTGCACTCTTTGATGATACCCAAAAACAAGTATCCTCTCTTCCCTTCTCCTTGCTTTTTATTTCTCCCATCACTTTTCTGATGACTAGATATAGGTTTTTTTTCTTTTCCCTGATTCTAAGCAAATGAAACTAAATATGGAAAGATCTCATGTTTTGTTAATTTTTAGCTCTTTAATCCTTTTTTTTTTTGTTTATTATTATGTGCAATGTGAGGACAGGAAAGCTGGATATTTTCAATATTTTCGTTTATGGTGTTTCAGATTAATACAGAAGAAAGGGTGGGGTTCCATTGAATAAGAGTTGGGATATACTTTCATTCATTTTCTGTCTATTATGTTTCCTACCAGTTTATGGGTGCCCACTGAAATCGGAGACGTGGAGATGATCAGTGAGCTGCTTTACATTAGTGCGCTAACATTTATATTAGGAAAGAGGAATCAAGCCTATTTTCGATAAGCTGGAGTTGCAGGTGTCTCACTTAATCCATTAAATAATTTAAAGGATTATAAACTTGGGGTTCCTCGGATCCAATATTTTTCCTTTTTTGATTAAAAAACTTGGTCAGCTGAGAGTCTTTGTATACGAGGAGTTCAATCCAGAAGAAGTATAGAGTTTGATCAAGTAAATGGCCTTTCAGTTTTTGAGTACCTTATTTATAATGGGCTATAGTCATTTAAAGAACAAAAATACTTAAACTTGTAAGTCACAAGTGCGGTTCTAAAAATCTACAGATCGGCCAAGAACTCATCAACTGGACAAACCACGTTTGGTGTTTGGGAGGCATACATCTTATGATAGTTATATTTGTACATTGTCCTCTGTGTAAGGTTGTTTTAGTCGTTCGTACCACATATATTGTGTATATAAGGGAAAATCCATATGCAGTATAAATATGTATGTGATTCAGAATTCTGCCCAAGCTTTTCTGAATCTTAACATGGTATCAGGGCTAAGCTTGCATGCAAAACTCTAATCTGTCCACATATGTAATGAAAAATCAGTTCAGTGTACAAACATCATTTAATATTCTGTGGGTAATAAATTTTTGACATCGGGTCACAAATCTGAGTGTGGTTATATTTCAAAATCATAGATTTGCGATTGGCAGTACTGTAGCAAATCTGTAGCAATCACTGTAGTGGTACTATGGTAATATGCTAAGAATCAAAGAAACTCGGAGAAAATTCTCATTGATTAGAATTAGGGATCAGTCCCATATATACAGCTGGCTAGGTTGTACAAAGTGCATAAATACTCCTATAGACTAATTATTATGAAGCTACCTTCAAACTAATCAATAAATGACACAGACTAAATTACAAGACAAATATGCATCTTATATTTCCCACCTCAAACTGGTGCAATCAATAGAAATCTGTGAAAGTTTGTTCATAAAATAATCATGTTGCTGTTTAGGAATAACTTTGGTAAACAGGTTAGCAAGTTGATCTTTAGAAGAAATATAAAGGAGAGTAAGATGGCCATAGGGAAATATTTCTCGAATGGAATGATAATCGGCCTCCATATACTTGGTCCAATCATGAAATACAAGATTGATGGCAATCCCATACACATTGATACCATCCCCATGGAGAGGCATAGATGACAAACAAGGGGCACCTAAATGAAAGAGAAGCATGAGAATCCATACAATCTCAACAGAGGCAGATGGCATTGCATGATGTAAAGCTTTGGCTGTTGATTTGGAAAATACATCTTCTTTCATGCTTTGCACCTTTGCCAAGAAACAAGTGAATCAACATGAAAAATACAATACCTTATATTCGATTGAGTGTGTGGACAGCAGGTCTAAGTAAGGCCAGCAAATCCTACCGGTTGAAGATCAGAGGATGCTAAGAAAAGAGTCCATGAACAAGTTTGTATTGAATAAAGTGAACGATTAGATTTCCAACAACCATTTTAGTTGCTTGAGGAGCCTAAACAAATTGGCGGACATAATTAATTGCATTATTGATATTTATCCTGTTAATATTGAAATATTGCATCCACAAACTAATGGCTGGTATGGAATTGGATCAGATAGCAAGTCCCATCAGATGCAGATAAATGAACATTAAGTTCTACTGGGGTATCTACAATCTTAGAGTCAATGAAGTTAGCTTAGGTAATGAGGTTCACGAGCATACCAGCATTGAGTGACTTTGATCACTCAGAGCCAACCAAGTAATCTTTAGACCAAGAAAATATGATAAAAATCCCATGTTAGTTGTTTGAAACTGCTGCTGTAAAATGTGTCTCATTTAAAAAGTAGTTTCTTTATCATAAGCCAATCTGAGTCTTTTAAAAGAGGGATACTATTCCCTGCTGGAATCAAATTTTTTGCTGTAAAATCTCAAAAATCAGGAACTTAGTTCCCATTTTGAAGTGTCTTTGGGCCCTCTTACAAGCCATTGAAACCAGACTTTTAATTTTTGGAATTAAAAAAGTTATCCTTTTAATTTTTATTTTACATTCAAGTCTCACTTTTTTAGATTTTTTATTCCCATTGTACCCTTGGTTTGGACATTTAATGACGGAACCGGGGTGGGGACTTGAACGTAAAATAGAAGAAAAATTAAGACTATTTTTTATTCATGAAAATTAAATGGGACTAGAGCATAAATTATACCCCATTGACTGTTTTTCCTTTTCTAAATGCATGTTTTCAGCTCATCTTCATTAGTTATAGATTCATGAGACAAATCAGACAATTTTTATTGCTTGAAGGTACTTTCAATTCTTATTGATTAAACGCACAATATGATCCGTTAATTGTCAAAAACTGATCATAATTTGTCAATTTTTTTCATCATCATTCTAGTAGCTGCCCGAATTCTTCATCTACTTTTCGTTGATTATATCTTAGATTTTTAAACTTTCTTGACGTATGGCATTGGCATTTTCAGTTCAAAGAAAGTGTTGCGCAGTTCGCACAAGAAAACATTGCTCCCCATGCTTCTAAGATTGATGCAACCAACAATTTTCCAAAGGTTGTAAGAGAATACAAATATTGAATTGCAGTATGAAACTTGTTTGCAGTATTTTTGTGATTAATTTCTTTTAGACAGGATGTCAACTTGTGGAAGCTTATGGGTGATTTCAACCTGCATGGAATTACTGCCCCTGGTATTTTTTTAAGCTGTGATTTAAATTTCAGAATATACAATGGATGTGTACTTTTGTGATCTTATTTTTGTGATTTTCATTGGTGTGCTTTGTACTTATTACTAGCTTACAAGGAATTCGTATGTAAATTGGGGTATGTTTCTTGGGTTTGTTGAGTGATTGTTGGAGGAAGTATCATAAACTTCATTTGTGTACTTGTGATGTAGAATTATATAATAGCAGTGTGTAAAACGTTGCCTTCCTAGGTACCTAGTTGGGTGAGAGCTTCGGGTCTATTGCCTAGGAGTAGGTGTTAAAATATCACCTTGAGTACTTGAGAGGGAAGAACAAGTTGTGGCATAGATAGAGATGGATAGAGTGGAAGCCAAAGGAGAATACATGACCACCTAATTCGTTTTTGAGTGAAGGGCTGCTATATTGTTTTTAATCCTAATTAATTGATTGTTAGTTAAGGGTACAAATAAACCCAAAATTATATATCTATCCTTTACAATGAACATGAACAAAAAATAAACGAATAAGTTAAGGCGGTATACAAAATTTGTAATATACCTCTGACCAGTTAGGACCAACACTCCCCCTCAAGTTGTCCATTTTGTTTTACCATGTACTAGTTGTCCTTCAAATGCTGATGCCATTCCTTTGATAACCCTTTTATAAGTATGTCTGCTACTTGCTATTTGATCTTCTGTGCCTATGAACCTAGATATACTTTGCTATTTGATATGCACTGTGTGGAATCTTTGATTTGCATACATTGTTTGTTTCTGCCATTTGGAACTTCCTCTCCTATGTATTCATAGTTTATTCCAATTGTTCCTACTGGAAATCATTGGTCTCAATATTGGTAAATTGTGATCTAGATGCCTACACTCAACACCTAATCACAAACATGTAATGCACAATCAGGCATAAAAAGCTTAAGTTAATTAAAGCAAGAATAAAAAAATCAAACAAAGACTGTTTTGTTGACATTAATAGCAAGAAGCTAGTTTTACTAGGAGCATATTTCAAGTTTAGATTGATTGAAAGAAGAAAAGTTGCTAAAAGAGAACGACGTGGTCAATGGAACAATAGTGAATGTCGGAAATTCAATAGGATGATCGTATCGTTATCCATAGGATGTCAAGTGTCTGGATCAATTCATCGTCATCATCACCATCATCATCATCTGAGCGTTATCTCAACAATTTGGGGTTGGCTACATGAATCATGTTCTGTCATTCCGTCTTATCAAGGGCCATAACTTCAGTCAGGCCATAAGTCTCTATATCTCTTCTCACTACTTCTATCCATGTTCTTTTGGGTTTCCCCTTCCCTTGTTGAGCTTTCCACTTGAACCAAAACACCCCTCCTAACTGGTGCTGTTTTAGGTCGACGCTACATATAGCCAGACCACCAAATCTACTTTCTCTTATTGCCTATGGAGCTACCCTGAGTTCCCTCTAATGTATTCATTTTGAATCATATATTTTCTTACCTTGCCATTCATCCATCTCAACAGTCTCATCTCAACTATATTCATTGTATGGATATGTTGTTTCTTGACCATAAAACATGGCTGGTCTTACAGCCGTCCTATAGAACTTCTTCTTAAGTTTCATTGGTATATAATGATTGCATAAAACTCTAGAAGCACATTTCCATTTCATCCACCCAACTCTAATTCTATGCGCGAGATCTTTCTCAATCTCTTCATTCTCATGTATTAAGTGTTCAGATCAATTGGAAGTTTGACTTTATTAGAGTGACTCATTTTCAAGTGATATCTACATTGTGCTCCTATACTTTATGGAATTTTATATATAAGGATTGTCACATTGTTAGAGGCATGTTTATGAAAGGTTCCGGAATCCTTATTGACAACCTAGTAGCTCCTGGATGCATTAATGTGAGATATGGAAGTATGGTTAGAGGCATTATTTGGAAATGGGTTTTGGAGTTAGGTGGTTGATGTGAATCTGTAGTTAGAAAAAAACATGATTTCTATAAAAGAACTAATGGGTTGATTTGAAACTAAAAGGAAGCTAACAAGCCTAGCTTCAATGGCTCTACAAAATTCACGAGAATTCAAGGAAACAGTAACTCAAATTTGAACCAAAATCCTAACTTAACACCTATTTGTAGACTTTATTGAGACATGCTAATCCTAATCCAATGTAGTTAGAATTCCCAATTAAAATTAGACTCGAACTTGACACTTTTGCAATTGATGATAAAAGACAGACTCGTCCTAAAAATAACCCTAAAGAAATACCTTGACTTTGCATAGGCATAAGTCTTTGCTCTGATATCGAAATTGCTATTATGGACTTATTTCGGAAATTGAAGCATAAGATTTTCCCTTGCAAACCAGGCTGAGAATGCCTCTAAAGGCATGAATGCCGGCCTTGATGTTTGGTGTGAATTGCTAGAGCATTATTCTCCGTTGGTTAGAGAGAACTCGCCCCTCAGGTCTTCCATGAGTTTCTTGAAGGCTTCTGCATCTATTTTCTTTTTTTCTTCCTCTGAAATTCGTGCACTCTCTAACTCAGGTTGCCTTTCCATTAGACCAAATACTGATTGTAGAAACCATGATGGGTAGTAATGATTCGATTGTCCAGAACCTTTTGGACCCGATTATGAACTGCTTAAGTATCTGCACTTTCCATTCAGCAACCTCTACATCAATAGGCTCTCCATGATACTCATGCAGATCAGAGACATTAAATATAACAAACATTCCATTTCCATCTCGATGCTCAAATTTGTATGCATTAATGCCAATCTTCTAATGCACACAACAAGGACCAATCTTTTTGTACTAGAGCTTGTGATATGTTCAACTAGGAATTCTCATCTATGGCACACCATCACTAAATCACCCTTTGAATTCCTTTTGGTGTCGGTATTTATTAACATTAGCCTTGTACTTGTAACTTTCTTGAAGCTTTTCTTGTACTTGCTGATGAATCTTTAGCAGATGGTCAACTAAGACTTCATTGTCATTACTTGCTTTTTCTTTGGTGGAGGCATCAACCAGCACTTATTCAGAGATCGCCTGATACATGACCTCAAATGGTGGCTTGTGGACTGATTGATCTTCTTTTTCCAAACAAGTTCCGCTTGTGGCAGAATTTGATGCCATTGTGAAGGCTCGTCTCCTACGAGGCTCCTCAATAGATTTTCCAAGCTTTTGTTAACAACCCCAGCTTGTCTATCAGTCTGCAGATGATATGCACTACTGCACCAAAGCTAAATGCCAAACTTCTTCCATAGGATATGCCAGAAAAGACTCATGAACCTTGTGCCTTTGACTGAAGTTATAGTCTTGGGCATACCATGAAGATGAACCACCGCCTTGAAGATCAACTTAACTGAGTAAAATGTGGCTTCTTTCAAAATCTGTCCACAACCACAAATATGGAATCTGAACTGTTGGCTTTGCGGGTTGTATGGGGCAGTAGGAATAGGAAGAGGGGAATACAAGCCATTTTTGTAAGACTGACCTTTGGCTAGCTGACATACCCTGCATCTCTCAATCTCTTCTGAGCTTCGGCCAATAATATTTCTCCTCCAACAACGAAATTGTCTTGTCTTGCCCAAAGTTTCGACTAAGACCTCCCCCATGTAGCTCACCAACAATCTGGATGCGAAGAGACCCTTTTGGAATGCATAGTTGACACCCTTTAAGAAGAAATCCATCTTGCAAAGTATAATCAAATGAAGATATGTTTCCTTGCACACATTCCTCAACAATTTTTTAAAAATAAGGGTCAAATCACAGAAAATGGCGAAGAAATTCGTCTTGCAAAATATAATCAAAACAAGATATGTTTCCATGCACATAGTCTTCAACAGTTTTGTAAAAATAAGTTTCAAATCACAGAAACTGGCAAGAGTTTCAAGCAAATAAGATCTCTTTCTTAGGGCATTAGTTACTGCATTCTTATGCCATATCACAAATGTAAATGCCAGCAGATAAGAAATTAATTTTGCATGAGGCCTGTTCAATTTCTTTGGAGCGCTAAACAATTTCTAGGCCTCATGGTTAGAAAACTGAATAAACTTGCATTGAATTAGATTATGCCTCCAATGAAATTAAGCCTAAACAATAGCATAAAATTCCACAACATAGGTAGAGTACCTATCCATTGGTTCATTCAACTTTTCACTGAAAAAGGCTGTGGGCCTCCTCCTTCACTATGGATAGCTCCAATACCCATATGTGAAGCTTCACACTCCACCTGAAAATCTTCTCAAAATATGCAATGCCATAACACGTGTCCTCGTCATTTTTGCTTTCACAAGCTTAAAGTTTTGCTTCCTTTGTCCACTCTAAGGGCCCTTTCTTCTTTCAATTCATTATAGGTACAATGATACTGCTAAAATTTCTGATAAATATTTTATCAAATGTAACTAAACCATGGAAACTCTTCACCTCACCCATTGTTTTCGGTGTAGCCCATAGTCGTTGGGAGCGGAAGCGGTGTGGGTGTGGGTGTGGGTGTGGGTGTGGGTGCGGGTGCGGGAGCCTAGGACCTTGGTTGAAGCTCCCTACCCTTGGAGCGCTTAAGATTGCTGCTTAGGGAGTGACTTGGGAGTGATCTCCTATCTATATATGCACTACATGTATATGGGAGTGAAGGGGGAACACCCCATAGTATATAGATTTGTGTGTGCGCATGCATGTGTGCGTGTGGGTGTGGGGGTATGTGTGTGGGGGTCTCTGCGTGTGTGTGTGTGTGCCCATGGTGTCCTCAATTATTACTATGTTATTACAATTACCTGAACGATAAATCATAAATGTATGTGTATGCATATACTTACAAGTACGTCCTATCAAATTTTCCAGAAGTGATATTTTAAATCTAAAAGAATAAATGATCAATCTTTTAACATTATTAATATACTGAACACATGCTAATAATAACTTTATTGCTAGAAAATCCCATTAAAAGTTATGAAATCTAAATAAAGAGTACACAAAGTCTATAGATCTAAGAATACAAATGATAGTT